GCTCTTACAATTGGATAATGTAATTATGGACAGTAATGGCTTCTACTGATATGCCATGTAAATGATTTAGAAAATCATTTTTCAATAATAATTTTAAAAAATCTAATGAGTTCAACCAGGTTAATTCTTGTTGTAAACAGGATTTCAGCAAGCATGTTCCATGAAACTAGATAGTTTGCACATTATTACAAGTAACAGAAGATGATCCAATGACAGCCAACAGTATCAAGCAAATATTTCTCATAGTAGCCTTTTTTCCTAGAAGTACTGATCTGAACAAACAATTTTATTCAGAGTCCATCTTTTCCCTTCACAGCAAATTAAGTCATAGGCAAACTTACTTGAAAGTAAATTCTATTCTATTCAGTGGGCTTTCCAAGTAAAGATACATACAACTGTTTAGTGAATGATTGCTGGAGCAGGTGGTCTTCAAGTGAGTGATATGTCACTCGTGTGCTAAGGAAAGCAGGACCCTGGGAAGATGGGGGTTGGAAGTGATAGCCTCTGACTTTGACAGGATAGCATCTACAGCTGGTTTACAGACCGTTCACCCTTCGCCCCAAATTAGGCTGAAAACATTATCTAAATTCACACTTCCTCGTCTGGCCCAATATCAAACAGGCTCAGCGGCAGAACTGTGCAAAACCGCACCACAACTTCTGCCCGGAAAAAGCCTTTCCGCTTGTGAAAGCTAGAGACTGGATTCTCTTTTCGGTCGGACCCTCTCCGTCCGAAACCTGCTCAGCCGAACAGCCTCGCCATTCCCCAAGTCCGGCGCTGGGACCGGTCCCTGGGAATGCACCCCGCTGCGCCCTCGCTCTGCAAACAAGAGCCTCGAGTAGCTACTCTCATCTGAGCCCTTTGCCTCCGCCACCAACCCTCGCTGCCCGCATCTTGGTCGCATCTCAGCCAATTCGGTTCGAAGCTCCTCAAGCAAAGGCACGCCCCGCGGCTGGGCACGTACAGCCACCACCCTTTCTAAACAAGCCCCGCGGGCGCAGCACGTGCAAACCCGGCGTACGCACCTCAGTCTCCAGTCGCTCCGGAGCCGCCATCGCTGACCCTCCAGCCACCCCTCCCTCCTCCTGCCCTCGCCTCGTGACGCTCTGACCCGGAAGAGGAAGAGGCGTGAACAGCCGCGCTTGCTTTTTATCGCTGACTCCGGACTCCGTTGTCATGCAGGTGAAGTCGTTGCGCCGGGCTTTTGGGTGGGGCGCCGGGCGGTTTGAGGGCCCAGCAATCCTGGTGATAGCCGGCAGGATTGAGTAGATGTTGGCGTTGCTTTTTAAAAAGAATTTAAAGGATCCGATTCAAGAGCATCTAGGCTCACGGAGTGCGGTAATCCATGGTTTATTGTTTTATTCGCCCAGTTACCTGGATTTGTTCAACACACTGAGCCCCAAGCCAAATTCTGACCCACTATGTTGCTCCAGCCTAGCCCAAGATTAGCAATATCGATCAAAAATGGTGTAGAAATAAACATGGCTACCTGCTGTCCCAGCTTCCTGTAACAGCAGATTGCGGGAGTTGGCGGAGGATTTGGGTCTGGAACAATATACCGAGGTCCCGCCTCGCGAGTAGCGTACACTGAGAAGAACTGGTGACCTGCACATCAACCCTGTGAGATCTTTGACAGTCCAGCTCTGAAAACTGTTGGTTCGGGTAGCAGGAATAGTGTTTGTCCATTGGTTTGCTGCTTTTGCTTGGTTTAGCACGCTGATCTTTTGGCTGGTATACATTATAATCTTCACCGGCCTTGTGCTAGTCTTTTGCTCCTGTGGCCTGATTGGCTCTAGGTTGCATTCCCAAACAGTGGATGAAAGTAAGAACTATGTAGTTCCACTCAGACTAGAATAATTTTCCCCAAAACGATGCTCACCCATTGTGTTGCAATACAGCTTTTAGAATTTCTAGCTAGCATAGTGTATTATGATACCACTGATTGGTTTGCTGTTAATACTTAGCTATTGTTATCAGATTGAAGAAAGTTACAACAGGGCTTGCTGACAGAATCCTAGAAAATATCTTTTGGATAGACAATATAAAGAGTTATTTTAAGTCAGAAGTTATGAATTTGTATGCCATCTGGAATGACTGAATATTAATACATACGTTTTAGATAACTGCAGGTGCCGGTAATTCTCAATTACAGTAACAGGATTTTGACAGGTTGCTAGGTGACATAAAATGCAGCAAGAACAGTCTTAGCAAAAAGACTGCAATTAAAATAATTTTGAACCACCAATTTCAGATTGTGCTTACAATATACTTCAGATTCAGATCAAGATATCAGTGATGGTGCTTGAGAAGTTTTGAACAAGTAAAAAATATATATTCTCTGAACTGATGTACATCTCCACAGGCTACCCAATCTGGGTTGCAGAAATTTAGAGTACCACTAGATGGCACCTGTTAATTACAGGAGTTAGTTAATCTAATCAGAAAGGGGCCAAGGAGCAACAGTTCCCTGACTTGCAATGGAGCTATCCCTATTGATTTTTAATGTATAATAAAAGAAAAAAGGAAAATAATAACTAGATACAATAACAAATGATAATACAAGAAAAAAACAAGATAAGCCAGGAAATAATTAAAGTACAAAGAAAAATAAATAAAAAATAAAGTTAATACATAGTAGAATGTACACAGGACATTCTGGGCACAGAGAGAACTGCTCCTGTCTGTGCTCCTGCCCTCTGAAGATGCCGGTCACAGATGCTGGCGAAATGTTAGAAAACAAATTTTGCGGAACATGGCAACACAGCCAGAAGGCCCCACACCAGCCATTGTATCCGGCCGTGAAAGCCTTCTTAAAGAGCAAGTTAAATTTTGACCCCATGGAATAGCAGTTCATATATAGAAAGTATAAATATGTCTTCCATCCCGGATGTTAAAATGTGTATGTTACAGTCTTTCTATTATAACAGAACAATCATCTTAGTTGCTGCCCATGCATAATAAATGGAAAATTCTTCAAAATTATATAGGTTTCAAATTTTCACAATATAGTTCAGCAGTACATTTACATCTTTGACCCTTATTTCTTTTCCCAACACCCTATTTACAACCTTATGCATATTGAACCAAACAGTGTCAATGTAAGGACAAGCCCAAAACATCTTAGAGTTCCTCCTGGCATATTATGTTTCCAACATACAAAATTTGAAAGCCAGTCATTACTATACATCTCCTGAGGTGTCCAATAGTCTCAAAAAATTAGTTTGTTAACTTAATCTCATCTTAAGGTCATGCAATACTAATTTAACATTCTTTAAAATCCTAAGTGATTGGTTTATTGAAATAGAATATTCTACCTTATTATTTCAAATTTTAGGGAAATTAAGATAGATCTACCTTAATTCAACTTTTTTCCATTTTGAATAAAATTAACTGTAATTAAAGAATTTGAAAAAAAACATATTCTAGTGATACTAATAACTAGAATAATGAATCTGACCCAAAATGTACAGTTAAGAGATGTTTTCACTGCACATATTGTTATGGGGCAGCATTGCATAATCTATGTGTTTTTTGCAAAACCTCAAACATTTTGAAAAACTGATTAGCAGCATGCTAATTCAATTTTCAATTCTAGAAAAATGGTTTTCAGGCATCTTTAAGTGTGATTATCCCATAAGTGCTCATGAGAATTTAGATAAAATCTGGTTATTTTTCCCAGCATACTCTAAAAATGCTTTAAATCTAGGAAAAGCAACTGAGTTAATACTAAAACTGGAGTCTTTTACCAAGTTATTAAATAATTTAAAAAATAATGTTCTAACTGTGCCCATAATGGTTTTTGAAATAAATCTTTTGAATTCTAGGAAATAATAGAGGTTAAAATATAAGCCCAATAGTATGGTTGAAAATCAGGATGATTAAAATCTGTATCTTTTTTATGAATGCCTTTAATTCAAGATGTCCATTTACAGCTTTGTCATCTTTCATATGTATTTACTGCAATTTTTTTATGTGGGGCTGTCCTTGAAAACTTCAGTATACTTAGTGCACAGTCCCATTACTGCCACATAACACTTTTGCTGTGGGAGCTGCACTAGCTCATGATATGTTTCCAAATGCAATTCAAGATGCACCTATCCTATATAGATTCTGCCTGCCCAATCCGAGGGTACAGAATGCCTGCTGAAGATCCTCACTTATTAAGAGGTGTGATAGGAGGGCCCCCCAAATGGGCACTCTCTGTGGGGGCTCCCTTCTCTGGAAAAAGGATATTTCCTGTTCCTGGCTTTTTGGAAACTTACAAAAACTTGGCTGTTCCAGAAAGCTTTGGGACTTGAGTGCTGCATTGTTCCCAGTGCCAGGAATATTATTCTGGGAAAATCCTAAAAAGATAATGAAGCACTGGATTTGCATGCATTTAGAAATAGACAAGATGATGACTGGAAGTCAGCATGGATTTGTTAAAAACAGGTTGTGCCAGACAAATGTTATTGCTTTCTTTGATAATGTGACTAGATTAGTGGATCAAGAGAATGCTGTGGCTGAAGTGGATTTAGACTTCAGTAAGGCATTTTATAAAGTAGACCATAGCCTCCTTCTTGATAAACTGGAAAGTTATGGGATGTATGGTCCACTATCAGATGGATTAACAGTTGGCTAAGCAACTGTAGCCAACACATGGTCCATAATGATCTATATCCACATGAAGGGAGGTATGTAGTGGGGTACCTTAGGGTTCTGTCCTGGGCCCAGTACTCTTCAACATCTTCATAAATGGCCTAGATAAAGGAATAGCTGGAATGCTTATAAAATTTGTGGATGACAGAAACCTTTGGGGGATTGCTAACAGAAGACAGCCTCAAGGTTCAAAAGGATCTTGATAGACTTAAATATTGGCTCTATTCAAAGTTTTTCAGTGGTGAGAAATACAAGATTCTGCAACTTAGGCAGGAAAAACCAGATGCACAGGTACAAGATAGGCAGTATCTGACTCAACAGTAGTACTTGTGAGAAGAATCTGGGTGTCCTGATAGACTATTGATAAAGCATGAGCACAAGACAAGACAAATCTGTGTGAAGGCCTCCTTAGCGAGGGCTGCCACCTGCTCATTGAGTGGTAGCTGTGAGTCTAGGAGGACCTCCAAATTGTGCACCAGCTATGTCCATGGGAATGCCACCCATCCAAAGTAAAAAATGGCATATCACCAGACTCTGGGGGCCAAAACCCCAAAGCCACTCTGTCTTGCCAGGGTTGAGCCGAAGTTGGTTCCTCCTCATCCAAACTCTCACAGCCTCCAGGCACTCAGCCAGCACCACAACAGTATCATCTTCCCAGCCAGGGGTGGAGATGTATAACCTTGATCTCTTTTGCAATCAACCACATCATCCCCTTCATAGATACATTCTATCACACATAATTATTCCCTGATCCTGGGTATTCTGCAGCATCTTTTCCTAATTTCAGAATTACAGCTATAAATGATTAATCAAAGGAAAAGGGAAGGGTTTTTTGGGGGGGGAGAACCCCTTTGTAAAATCTCCCAACAACATGGAAGCAAAAAAGTCAATAAATACTTACAGGTAGTCCTCGAGTTATGACCATTCAAAATTATGACAGTGCTGAGAAAGGAGACTTATGACCAGTCTTCGAAGTTGCATCATTCCAGCACCGCCACGGTGACGTGATTGCAGTCTGGGTGCTTGGCAAACTAACTGTACTCATGACCAGTTGCCAAGCGCCCCTCAATCACATGGCCACCATTTGCAACCTTCCCTGCTGGGTCCCCCAAGCAAAGTCAATGGGAAGCCAGCAAGGAAGGTCACAAGTCACTGGGGTAAGTCCCCCCGCCTTTCTTTGCTTGCACACGTGCACTGCACCCTCCTTCCCCTCTTTGCTCGCACATACCCCACACCTTCTTTCCACAGCCTCCCTGCAAATCACACTCACGCATGTACCCCATGTCCTCTTTCCATGGCCTCCCTGCAATCGCACATGCATGCACATACGCTGCGCCCTCTTTCCACAGCCTCCCTGTGATCACAAGCACCCTGTGCCCTTTTTCCTCAGCCTCTCTGTGATCACACCTACTCTGCGCCCTCTTTCCCCAGCCTCCCTGAAATT